GTCTCTGCGAAATTTGTTCTTCTTTCAAACTTTTCGGTTCAAATCTCTGGATTTTCTACCCTTATTGCTGTAAGTTTCCTTCTTGCGATTTATATTAGGTCATTTATAAATCAAATTTTAAGTACGCCATTTCATCAATCTATTTTTTCATTGTAAGCTGCGTTCATACCTAAAGCCTCTGATTAATTGACATGTCTTCCAAATCGATTCACCCTTTGTTGAAGATCAATCCATCAAGTGAATGCTGGAGAGTTTTGGTTCGTGTGATTTGACTGTACAAGATGCCAGTGTATAATGATTAGAAGATGACGAATTCGATTGAGAACTATAAGTACCTGCTTGTACATTCTTAACATGAGAATAAACATAAAACGTATGTTATATTTTAAATACAAATTATCCTAAAGAATATTAAAAAATCACCGATCTTCCAATAAAACGAAAATGAAAGTTTTGTGTTAATATGATTAGACATATTTTTTGGTTTTAAGAAGTTAACCCCATATTGAATAAATAAATGAAGCTATTCTTAAAGTATAATGAGTCTGCTCTCCTTGAACCTTCTATTTTCAGCACCATAAAAAATAATTTTTTTATTAAAGTACTGAAGAGTTGAGCCTGTCCTTATTTTCAGACTTATAGTCTGCTGTTTTTGAACATATTTTATGGTGTGGAGTTTAGTTTTTAGTCTCTTGAAGTTTCTCCGGATTCAAAGTATTGAAAAAACAAAACACACTATAGTCTGTTCTGATTCTAAGTATTAAAAAACAAAACACACTATAGTCTGTTTAGTTTTTTAAGTGCCTATTCATGTTGAAGTTTCTCCAGTGCCTAAAACCATGAGTTTAATTTTTTTTAAAAGTGCCTAAGAAGGAATTCTTATAATTTATGTAATAATAACTCTGTCGTTCTTAAAGTGTAAGAAGTCTGCTGTCCTTGAATCTTCTATTTTCAGCACCATAAAAAGCATATTTTTTTATTAAAGTATTGACGACTTGAGTCTTTCCTTTTATTTTTCAGACCTTAATTTCAGATTTATAGCCTCCTATTTTTGAACATATTTTATGGTGTGGAGTTTAATTTTTATAGTCTCTTGAAGTTTCTCCAGTCCTTAAGTATTGAAAAAACAAATCACACTATAGTCTGTTTACTTTTTATAACTAATACCTGAAATGATAAGAAATATAAATACAAATAATCACCCAAATCAATATCAACACACAAAATAAGAATTCAAGAGTCATTGATGTGTAGATTGACGGTCTGCTCTGTGATTTTAAGGCCAACAAATCTCCTATGGATCTCGACCTTTTTGTTCTCCACTTCTCATCATCTCCTCAAATTGTTTTTTATATCCTCTTCCTTATCTTTATATAAATAAATGTTTTTTTATCAAAGTATTGAAGCTTTTCCATAAATAAATGTTGAAGCTTCTTATGGGATACTTATCTACGATGAATGAAGATCAACGGAAGATATACGATGAAATAATGGAAGTTGTGACTGCTGGAAAAGGAGGATTCTTTATTGTGTATGGTTGCGGTGGAACTGGAAAAACATTTCTTTGGAAATCATTGTCTGCTTCTCTAAGATCAAGTGGTAAAGTTGTCTTGAATGTCGCATCCAGTAGGATTGCAGCATTGCTTTTGCATAGCACACTCCAGATTTTCAATTCCTTTGGCGCTAATAGAGTGCTCAATGTGCGCCATCAAACAAGGGAGCCCAAAAGCAGAACTAATTCAATAGGCAAGTTTAATCATATGGGATGAAGCTGAATAGATTTGCTTTTGAGGCATTTGATCGCACGATGAGAGGTCTAATGAAGTTTTCTAATCCAAACTTAATAAATGAACCATTTGGAGGGAAAATGGTTGTACTAAAAGGTGATTTCAGACAAATTCTTCCTGTTTTACCCAGAGCTTCGAGAGAGGAAATTGTAGGTGCTACCATTAATTCTTCAAATTTGTGGTCTTATTGTAAAGTTTTTAAGTTGACGAAGAATATGAAGCTGCATTCATCAACGTCCTCTTGCGTAGATAGAGACATACAAGATTTTTCTGATTGGATAATCAAAGTTGGAGATGGAAAGCTTGAACAAGTGATTGATGGAACTGTTGACGTTTTCCTCTCGAATTTTTGATTATAGATAACAGCTCACCCCTCAAAAGTATAGTGGACTTTACTTATCCGAACTTATTGGAGAATATGAGAAATTATTCTTTTTTTGAAGACAGGGCACTACTAGCACCCACGCTCGAAGTTGTAGAAATGGTAAATGAATTTGTCTTATCCCTCATTCCCGGAGATGAACTGGTGTACTTGAGTTCTTATTCATCATGCCAAGCAGATTCATATATAGGTGTTGATGGCGACTGGATAACAGTTGAGTTTTTGAATGAAATCAAATATTCCGAAATCTCAAACCACATGATAGTTTTAAAAAAAAGGGTACCAATTATATTACTGAGGAACATTGACCAAACATCTGAATTGTGTAATGGTACAAGATTAATTGTTGACGAGATGCGAAAGAATGTTATTGGTGCTATTGTGATTTTGGGAAATCGAGTGGGCGAAAAAGTTTACATGCCCCGAATGAATTTGGTACCGTCTGATCCAGGACTACCTCTAAAGTTCCAGAGAAGATAATTTCCAATAGTCTTATGTTTTGCTATGACTATTAACAAAAGTCAAGGTCAAACATTGTCATTTGTTAAATTATTTTTAACCAAGTCAGTGTTAACTCATGGTCAGCTTTATGTTGCTGTTTCGCGAGTGAAGACAAAGACAAGATTAAAAATATTAGTCTTAGATGACAATGGAAATCCTTGCAGCCATACAAAAAATGTTGTATACCCTGAAATCTTTCAAAAAATTTGGTATTAAAGTAAACTTTGTTGTGTGTAGATTCAATTCCTCAAATATTATTCTTTTTACTTTGCCTTTCTTTTCTGTGTTATTATAAATCATGCATGAGGTATATTTCCTTTATTCCGGAAAAAAATATTGCATTGAATAAATTCAGAATCGACAAGATATTCGTCCGAACCCGTGCATTGCACGGGTAGGAATATTAGTATATATATATATATATAAAGCTGAGCAGCTTAAATGCGGTAACGACATGTGTCACGCCACACGTGTACATTTGTAACACGTGTCATGCCACATGTGTATCACATGCCACGTGTCATGCCATGCGTGCGTATTAATTTTTATATTAAATAATCACTATTTTTATTATACTTTATAAATCCCTTCAGTTTATAAACTTTCACTTTCTAACTTTAATAATAATCTTTGTATTATAGATTTCATCATTATAATATATTTCAAAGTTTGAAAACTAATTTCATTAATTTAAAAATTTTAAATAAGTTATTTTTTGTAATCCATAATTTATATTTATATTACTTCTAAAAAGTAATTTAAAAATTTTAAATAAGTTATTTTTTGTAATCCATAATTTATATTTATATTACTTCTAAAAAGTAATTTCATTAATTTATCACATATGCATCTTTTTTTGAGTGCTATTGACTCTACGAAGTATTACATAAGCATTTTTATTAACTACTCCCTCCGTCCTTTGAAAAACTTCTCATTTTGACTTTTAAAGGATTTAAGAGCAGTGTATTTTGGCGTTGACTTTCCAAAAATACCCTTTGATATAATGAATAGAAATATTTGCACTAAATAGCACTAAAACTTAAGTCATTTCTCTAAATAGCACTTAGATTGTTTTCTTCCTAAATTACACATAATAATGTCCATAATGACCAGTGGTGACAAATAATTATTTGAATAATGACTAATGGATAATGACCTAAAGTGCTACATTGAAAAAAAACATATGTAGTGCTAATTAGGAAAAGTCATTATGTTTTAGTGCTATTTACGTAAATTCCTATAATGGATAATAAGATGGGTAGATTAATAGAGACAAAGTGTGATATGATAACTAGGTAGGTTAAGAATTAATACGGGTAAATATGACTTTTTAATAGAAAAAGGAATGGTTTTTTGGGATGGATGAAAAAAGAAATGAGAAAGGTTTTGTGGGAGAGATGAAGTATATGATATATATTTTAAAACTTTATATTTATTTTATTATACACCCTCTGTCCTAAAACTGACTTCTCAATTTATGAGATTTGACCGAAATCATTTTAAATTCAATTTATTTGATTACGTTTAAAATTTAAAATTAAACCTTTTATATTTAAAACTGCATCAAAAGTTTAAAAAAATATAAATGACATGACTATATTATTTTATTAAATGAGTAATGAAAATAAAAAGTAAAATGTTAAAATTTTAGAATATTTACGAGCCCGTGCGAAGTACGAGGTTAACATTAATTAGTCAAATAGTGACACCTCAACTCCGCCAAATGTCACGACCTAACTCCCCTAAATGTTGTATTCTTGCACTTTGTAGTTTGCAAATGTTTTTTGAGATTTTAGTCTTTCAATTCGTCTCAAAATAATGTTTTTATTGGACTTGTCTTTTACAATTTTTGAAAATATTTTGATAGTTAACATTTATATTTTTACAATATACACCCTCTCCGTTTTTGTGTATTTGTTCAATCTTACTTTTTTTGGGTTAAACAGAATGAATCTTAAACTTTAATTAAATAACTATTGTATTATATATTAGTATAAAAATAATTTATTATAACAATTTTGTTGAGAATTTTTAAAATTTTATTTCATTGTGAAAATATACAATTCAAAATGGGAGTAATTAAAACTTAAAATTTATCAAATTTGACTAAAAAAAATCTTGTTCTCATGAGTAATCCCAATTTTTTCTTTTAATTCAAAATAATTACTTTTGATAATCCCCGTACAATTTTTTAGCAGCTCATAAATACCAGCAATTTCGTGGCCATTTTCCTAATACTCCGTACTACGTATATTTCATCTTTTGGCCCTCTATAAATCCACCCCCATCCTAGCTCGCCTTCATCTTCTTTCGTTCGATCCCACTGGGCGAGCGCTCAAGAGTCTTTGCTTCATCTCTCTACGCCCAGAAAAGAGACTGCCATTTGTAGTTTTTGGTTAGATTCGAAGTGGATGACGAAGTCTCGGAAGGGAAAGACTGAAGAGCAAGATGGGGGAATTTCCTCCGCTGTTATTCGACACCAGAAGCTCTGCCTTTCAATTGACATGGAAAAGCGTCGAATATACGGGTATGTTGTACCCACACCCACACACCCACACATTTTTTGTCACTTAACCCGGCAAAAGAATTGTAGGTTTATGTAATGAAGGAAATTTTGTAGAAGATATGTGGAATATCTTATTTTCAATTGAAGCTAAATTACCGCTCAATGGGTTTTCATCTCTGCTTCGCTGGGATTTCTTTGGTTAATGGAGTAAATATTGCTAAGTTGTAGACTTGTAGTTTAGGTGTTTGAAATGGAGTATATAGATAACTGCAGCGATTTGAATGGTTTGGTTTGTTATCATAGTTTAGGAGTTCATTGTTTAATTGGGTATTCTCTTTCTTTTCTTCTTTTGGGTTATCAGTTTCACCGAGATTGAGATATCTGTGCCGGACAATGGGATTGTGGAATTGCACGCGGATAACTTGGTAATTGAATCCGTGACAGTAGATGAAGAGCCTGCTCAGTTTGAAGTGTTTCCACATTATTTGAATTTGGATAATGGGGAAAGATGGTGCTCTGTGTCATCCACTTCTTCTGCAGCTGATGCAGCAGGGTCGGTTTACTTATCTTCTCTTGACAGGGAGTTGGTTCCGAATCTGCTGATTATGTGTAGTAAATCTACAAAGAGGGACAATGAACAGCTTGAAAAGCCTTCCGGGAACTGTGTTGAATCTCCAATTGAAGAAAAACAAGAAGAGCCAGTGGCTCTTGATAATGGGTTTAAATCTTCCGCTGAAGAAAAACAGGTTTATGACAGTTTATTTGATAACTAAGGTTGATTTGTGCGCAACATTTGCATGCTTGTATTGGTTTTCTATATTCACAAGGCTCACTTGTGTTCTGATTATTGACTTATGTTTGGTCTTTCATGCTTTGGAAGCAAAAGTTACATCTGTTCCTCCTGAGACCTCAACATTGTACTGCGTCATATGCAGCAGATGAACCTTATTATTATTATTATTATTATTTTTATTGTTGTTATTATTATTATTATTACTATTGTGTTGATGCTATACATGTTTCTGGCTATAACACTTGCTCCAACTGCATTTAAATCAGACATAGATTTTTAATATAGACACTGTACAATTTTAAAGAAGGGACTGCAAAAGAAATTTAAAGCTCTCGTTTTCTAACCATTTTTTAGGATTTTTGTTTGATATTTCTAAGTCATGATAGTATAAACAAGTATACCCACTTATTTAACTCATTGTTTGTCTATATTTGTTGCATCTTCAATCTCTGACTTCTCATGTAGGATATGTTGAATGCAGAGTGTAAAAAGGCTGCGCATCGACTATTGGGTGGAGAAGGCAGAAACAGGAATCCACTTTGATGATGATGTTTTACACACTGATAACCAAATAAGGCGCGCACGTTGCTGGTTCCCTTGCATGGACGACGACTTGCAGCGCTGCTGGTACTTAGAAATATTAAGGATTTCAATTACATGCATACTATAATGTAATTTTCATATTATTCATTCCAATTGTTTAATTTATTGCTCAGCTATGATATGGAGTTCACAGTAGCTAGTAATCTCATTGCAGTTAGCTCTGGGACTTTACTTTATCAGGTGAGCTAGAAAGCTTTTCTTCTCTATAAGGTGAGCTCAGTGAGTTTGAAGTCATGATTTGGTAGTCCATGTTTAATCATATTTTTATCCTATTTGCAATGCAAATTGATAATCTCAATGGTATGTTTCTCTATAATTAATGCATTGTTTGGCAAGAGGTGGAAATAGTTTTTTTTAGGTAGAAAAATGATGGTATGAAACACTAAGGAGTGTTTATGGGGTAGTATGTCAAAAATGTGTTTGGATATTTATGAGGTGGATAATTTACATGATATTACCTAAATATCCTCAATATTACAAAAGAATAAAGAAAAAAAGCTAATCATAGACTCGTGAGAGTTGGAATGCAATGGCCATTTCTTGCGGCTCGCGCTTCTACAACTCTCATCAATCATCATCACCCACGTTTCCTTTGTGAGACCAATAGGCAATAGTTGCACAATGAAGACAAAGAAAAAACCTTGTGATAGAGGTAGTTTGCCAAAGCATGCAAGGAAGCCAAGGAAGGCCAATCCAAGAAGATGACCCGCGATGACGTCGTTCGTCGGGGCATGTAGAATCGAAGTAGCTGACTAGTGATGAGGAAGAAAACTTACACCTACGAATAAGGACAAATGACATTGAAGAAGATAATTTGGGAAAACTTTTGAAATGCCCCGTCTCCTCAATAGCTGCTTAGTTTCTATTTTGCCATATTGGCGAGTTAGCTAATTCCATTTTTTCAAGTGTTCGCTAGCTACCCCATTTCACTTTTTTTGTCAATCCAAATAAGTTAAGAGGCATTACCTACCTCATAAACCCCTTACCTCTCTCCACCTAAGGGTTTAGGAGGATCAAAGTTCGGCTCGACCATTCTTTTATCTATAGTTTTTCATATTACATTAGTATATGCATTCTTACTTCCAATGAATTATTTAGTTGGAATCAGAATTGCATCTTTTTTTGAGCTTCACTAAGACATAGGGCATCTAAATATGTAAAACAAGTTTTATTCACACCTTTTATTAGCAATGGATGGAACGGGAGATTGTCATATCCAAAACAAACTAGGATTTGTGTATTTCTATTTTACATTATTTGTTTTTCAGTTGATACAAATTTTCATCGCGTAACTCTTAGGGCTTATTCTATACGCCTCAATTTAACCCGGAGTCTAAGTTTGCACAAAGCAGTAATATTAATTGAAATTTGGAGTTTGGAGCCTAAAAGCAAGAGACTTAGATAACTAGATTATTAAGTTGAAAATAACTAGCCCTTAGCCTCTTACTAGTGTTTCTAGAAGGTAAACTTATAAAAAATAAGACATCATAGAAAAGTTTGTACCAACATTTAAGTTACCCATGAACCACATTGACAAAAATCAGGCCAAAATTCTGCATCATTAGTCACGTCTACTATTTTTCTATGTGAATGATGAGGTGTTATTGACTTTTAAGATTGTTGAAGGATATAACCCTACTCAAGACTTCTTTTTGTACTTTAACCACCCAACCTTAATATGTTTTGTGTTGTCATCCCTGATCTTTTGTCATCAATAATGCTACTTTCGACAAACTACTCCTTTTGCATTGTAAGAACTCTAGAAAGTGGTTAAAAACTTTTTTCATGGAGCAAGGAAGTCATCTTGCACTTAAGCCTTGAATTATTTGAAAGAGGATTGTTAATGACACTAGTTTGCTAGCAACAAAAGCAATGTTATGGACCATGAGAGGATTGATGTCTAGCAAATATGATGGAATGGTGTATGAATTAAGGGTTTTGGTTTGGATTTTTTGTTGAGATCTTGATGTCTTCGGTGTTCGGATTATAGTGACCTAAAACTCTCAAAACGTTTCTTATAAGTTTATACAACAGCAATAGTTGGATCTCTCTGGGATCCAACTGGGTTGTTGTTGTAATAGCCTAGTTGGATGCCATGAAAGTAGGGTTAAGTTTATGGTTATACAATACTAATCTTTAGCTAAACTATCTCATATTAAGAGATCCAAAGTGCGTTACAAAAGTAGTAGTCATGTTCTACTAATTAAGTTAAGTAGTAAATTACTACAAGACCTCAATCACCACTATAACAGTACTAATATATTCACACATGTTATGGAAGCTAAATCTAAATTACATAAGAATTACTTTGGATTAACCACATTTTAAGTTGGTTCAACACCTTCGTTGTGATGATGTTGCAATGAGAACACACTCGCCTCTAGTCCGGGGTGTGTCACAGAAGCATGAAGGAAACTCGTGTGGATACATCTGCCATCGCCTTTGAACTTCAAATGATTCTTGGTCATATTTTATGTCTTAGGTAGCCATAAAATAGGATTCCTTATGTATCCAACCATCTCCAATAGGCTCATTAAAAGCTGCAAAGATCATGACCATAGTTAGTGGGCCATATCAATTGAATCATATGGTTCTGATACGGATGGAAATGAATGGTTTTAGCATGTGGCGTGCCCATTCATCATCATCATCATCATTGTCTTACTTATCAACACCTTAGTCCCAATTAGCTACGGTCGTGGGCACTAAATTTATGGTGCCAATTTATTGTATAAAACTAAGTAATAATATACATTCATGCAAAAAAAAGCAGTGACAATATCTTTAGTTGGATGCAATTATAGCACAACCTTTATATGGAGTAATAAAATGAAATGTTTAAAACACTATCATTCTAAATTTTTCCACTGGCATGGAAAATCTAATCAAACTACAATGAGCTGAGATATTTGTTATTGCCATGTTAGATTGATATTGTAAAGTCAACATGTGAATCATGATATAGGGCCATTAGCTTAGCATGCCCAGTTGTCAAAAATAAAATATGCGGGTGAAGTATATATATATTGGGAGACCAACATTGCTGACTTGCAATATTTGGGTGCCTAAAAGTGCATTGTAATGAGTGGAGTACTATAAGGCCCCAATATATAGGCACTCAAAGAGTAAACACTAATAAATGAAAGCTTGCCCAAGGTGACTATTGAGTGCTTGAAGGTGATTTTTGAATAGTTTACGTAGCAACAACAACAACAACGTTATCCCAGTGCCTCAAAGGCTCTCACCCTTTGCGGGATAAGGGGAGGTCAGATGTAAGCAACCCGAACCCCTATGTTTAAAGCATAGAGCGGTTGTTTCCGAGAATAGTTTAAGTAGCATGTAACCTGAAAACACAATACTCAAGAGTCAAGACATAATAAATACTTAGCACTTGTGCTTGACCTAGTAACGAATAATATTCAACCCTAGGTCTCCAAAGGTATTTGGTTAGGACGTTGATAATCCACTATTTAACCTTTGACTTGATAATAGTGTTTGCATCGGCCTCAATATGATTGGCTCTTTTGTGATAGACGGGAATGAATGCAATAAGTTATACTCCATAGTTATCAAAAACCAACTTCATGGGACTAAGTTTGTTCAAGATGAGGAATATGCATTTGGTGGGGAAGATGAGCTTGGATCTTTTACGTAGATGTGTAACAATAACCAATGCCATGTTTTATTAATTTTAAAAAACAAATATCACCCTACCATTTCTCATTTTTAAGGAGTCAACACTTCTGTTTCTTACCTTTTTGCTTTGTGGCACCCACCCCTTTCCGCCTGTGAGATTTTATTGGGTGGGTTGCTTTTGCTGCTTTGTTGCTAATGATGCTTACTGATGTAACATTTCGTCACAGGTATTGAGCAAAGATGACCCCCCACGTAAGACGTACATATATAAATTAGATATTCCTGTCACTGCCTCATGGATATCCTTAGTTGTTGCACCATTTGAAATTGTTCCTGACCGCCACATTGCTCAACTGTCCCATATTTGTTTACCCCCAAACTTGTCAAAAATGCAGAATACTGTAGGATTTACTCACAGTGCTTTCAGGTAACCTCTAATGCTTATCTATATTTATTGTATAATTTATTTCAATTCTTTTTTACTTTCCTTATATTTAATTACAGTCATCTCATTATACGGAGTACATTTCTAAAAACTATCTAACTACGTTGTAACAGCCATTATGAGGATTATCTTGGTGCACCATTTCCTTTTGGGTCATATACACAAGTGTTTATATCTCCTGAAATGGCAGTATCTTCATATGCATTGGGAGCCTCAGTGAGCATCTTCACTTCTCAATTGCTCTTTGATGAGAGGGTAATTGATCAGGTATGTTAATAACACAGAAGCAGTTGGCTTGCATTGGCTGTGGAGTAACTGAAAAATAACCCACACTAGACCCCATATAGGTGCAAAACAAAAGACATAGTTGTATTAGCACACGGTGATGACATGATCTCATTCACAACACACACACACACACACTCATAGAGTCATATCCACTATTTTGACTATCTAGATCCACATATTTGTATTTAATGGTGATTGCAATTGTATCTGTGATTAATAGACATAATATTTTTTTAGTTGTTTTACATTGCATCTAAGCCATCATTAATGTTGTTTTTCCATGCTACACTCCGGCAAAAAAAATTGCAATTCACTATCAATTTGAGAATTTCTCAACAGAATCTCTTTTGATTAGTTCTTATAAAAAAGCATGTTCTCTCTTCTGGAGTGCTGCGAAGGAAGACGGTCCCAACAATCCAACATCCTTGCCACACACCACCAGTGCTGGTGTGTGGTGACATATTCCAAATATACTATTCTAGTCGTATTCTCAGCGTCTCCCAACCTTCTTTATGAAGATTAATCTTGATTCCGTCAAGCATGCTGCCAGATTTGACTTTGGACATCACTAGTTTTAATACACCCACCGTCATTGGAAGCATTGCTCAAATCACTGTTTTGTGCCCAAACATTTGCAAAACTTGTACCTTCCAAAAATTCCGTGGTTCACAAAATCTCTCTCAATTTTAGTCCAATGCAATCGAATAACAGTTATGTGCCATGTAGTGGTGGATGATTATAAGAATAAGAAGGTAGATAAATTACCAAAACACAATTTGGATAATGGTAGATGTTGAATTATGTAGTCTATTATGTCAAACTCTTTACGGGGGTAATGTCGTGTATGTCTTGATCTCTAAGACCCTAATGGAGTTGGGATAATGTTGGGCTTGTTATTATTTTATTAAGGAAACCCGATTTATCTAAACCCAATCCACTTTTCTGGGAATTCAAGACCACATATACTCTGATAATACACCAAGGTTCCCATGACATTGGAACCCAATGTCATGGGAACCCCACCCCTGATAATATAGTAAACAATTTTGAGTTGTTGGTTTGTGGGACACCTGCACAACAACTTGCCTAACATGATAAGCCATTTTAGTCCTTTTTGGATTGGAACTTGGCTTAGATGGTGGAAACACAAGAAAGAATATCCTTGGAGGTAGCAGAACGCTTTAAAAGATTTCGTAGGTAACTTATATTTCTAGTGGGATCTGTGTTCCAACTACATAACAATCAATTCTTTTAATTCAAGGAATTCAAGATAATACTGAACTACTGAAGTAAAGATTGCATGTAAAGGGAAATGCTAGGTATTGTAATTTTTGCCAAAAGTTTTGGCTCACATGGAAACCATTATCTCTCACTGCAAATGTGGTTCAATCAACTAGTGAAGTAAGAACTTGGGCTACGTTTACTGCATGATGAACTAGGTGGTGGATCAAATTAGCATTTTGGATCCGTGACATAGGCCCATCTTCTGTAACTATCGTTTCACCAACTCAAGTACTCAATCATGAATCTTTTTCTTCCATTTTCTTTGGTAATGGATCTATATGTTTGGCAACTGGTTCCCAAAACATGTTTGCCTTAATCTCTAGCTTTCTAAATACTTAAATGTTCTTTCAAATTGATTTTAGCTCATCAAATAGCACAATCATTAAATTGTTTAGTCATTTTTTCTCCCCTTCTGATTCTCATTAGGGGAAGATGATTGGTTCAGGATATGAAATAAGAGTGCTATATTCACTCTCAACCCTTCCTGTACTTTTTACAATGTTTTGTTCATGATCATTGTTGTTTGGGTCACTTAATCATCATTAAACGCTAACAATTTGTACTTGGGTTTTCTAACTTTCCTTCTCAGAATATAAAGCTTGTCGACTTTGGAAAAATGTTGAAACAGTATAGAACATCCGTTCATATTCATGTTAGCTTCTGACCTAGCAAAAACATTCCAATTTCCAAGCCATCCTTGAATAGTTATTTCACTAAATGGACCCTGACACCCAGACCCTTTTCGTTTAGTTTTAGTGATGGTTGGGTACCATGTTGTGACCCTTAAGTATTTTCTTCAAGTATTTGACCCATCTATTCATGAGGTTTTTTGTTGTCGTTCCTAATGTGACAATACAACATCCTAGTAACGTCAAACATTTGGATGTGGGAAGGGTGGATGTATGCAGACCTAATTTAAAAGTCCTTGGCTCAAGAAACACAAAATAAATTAGAACAATCAAAAACTGAAAGTTGATGTTACACACCTCAGGTTCTATTGATTATTCAAGGCAAAGAGTAAAAAGCAACACAAAAGTACCAAGCCTTAAGAGGCACCACTCTACACCTAACTCTCCATTGGCTCCTACAACCTTTGTCCCACAAAATATTACCTTAGGATTTTAATTTTTGACCTCTGATCTCCTCTAGTGTTGGTCATCTTCTCTCTAAGCTGTGAGCTGCAAAAATGTCATGCTAATCATCTCACCCCAACATTTTTGGTATACTCTACCTCTCATCAAACTCCACACTCCAACCTCTCACACCTCTTCATTGGGCATCTATATTTCTTCCAGCCCAATCCACCTTGATTGCGAATCAGGTCCTATTGTGACAACGTTTTGAAATATTTAGAAGCATCAAAATACTTTGCGATGTGATATTCTACATAATATTTTAAAGCCATTTTATCTCTTTTTCATTATTGTGAAGTTATAACTTCATGAGTTGTCTTGCATGTACTCCACAACAAAGCTAAGGTGCAGTTTTTTTGAGCAAAAGAGTGTTGTGTTGGGCTCATGTTATGAAATCTGGAAGGTTGAGTTGAGTCTTAAACTCGAATGCAGCTGTTTGGAGAAACAAAGTAACTAGTTCGTACGTCCCCATAAAACATTTAGATCTAAAATCATAGTAGTAGGAGGCCTAGTCATCACAATCCTAAAAAATATCCGTATTGCCACTGAGCAATGATGACCATCCATGGAAGCCATTGGCGTCAAGGATAATGAAAGGGACTGAGGTACTTGTTGTGGGTTGGTCTCCGACTCGATACCAAGGGAGGGAGAGAGAGATTATGGTGAGTGGTCGCGATTCGTGACAAAGACTCAAAGAAAACCCCTTGATTGGTGTTTTCCTGATTAGCGGTGATTTTAAACTCATATGTGTTCAATCAAAATATTTTAATTTCCTTTAATGGCATGTTAGGGAATTCGAATTTGGATTTCAAAATAAGGTTTGACTATAATTAGATGTTTGGGAATCCCAAAAATTTGGATTTGGATTTGAAATCCGAGAATTCAAATGAATTCTTAGTTTCCAAGTATTACCTAGCAGAATTTACATAAGCTATAAAACAAAATATTTTGGTCATTTTCCTTCGTTGCTCTTTTTTTTCTTGATGGGCTCAGATTTATTGAACAGACATTAGAGACAAGGATTAAGCTTGCGTATGCTCTTGCAAGACAATGGTTTGGAGTATATATCACAGCTGATACACGAAATGATGGTATATCGTTGGATACTTTATCTTCGATGTGATAATGTAGGTAACCTTTTTTTGCATTCTGACTGTCTGGAATCCAAATTATTGTTCTCAGATTGGTTGTTAGATGGTCTTGCTGGATTTTTAACTGATACATTCATTAAGAAATTCCTGGGAAATAATGAAGCTCGGTATCGGCGGTACAAGGTTTGTTGCATCGAATTCCCTGCTCTTATTAATTAGTTATATAAACACAATCTGTAAATTTAAATACAATGTATTTGGGCATGTCTTTTCTTGTTATGCTATAAAAAATGATTCAGCTAAGTTTATGAACCCTGCATATTTATTATTTAATTTCTAAAATAAATTGGAGCTAAAGTTATCCTCTAATTTGAGCTTCACTTGTAAAGTCATTTGTCTTCTGTTCTCATGCAACTGGTTTGATAAGGTTTAGTTTGATGATGTTGTGCATTCGGCTGCAATGCTTTTATTTTCAGTCTTCTATAATAAGTAGTTTAAATCATGTATACATAACATACATCACCCCACCTCCTTAAAGGCCCTACTATTGAGTGTGATATATTGGGTGTGTATGGTTTGGCACAAAACTTTTTGATTTAGAAACCGAGGAATGTTACCAACAAACCTTTGATCTATAAGTAAAATTTTTGTAGTGTTATGCGCTGTATCCTGTTGAGTGTTTTTTTTCTTTTAATTGCAGGCCAACTGTGCTGTTTGCCGAGCAGATGATAATGGGGCTACTTCGTTAAGCTCATCTTCTTCATCCAAGGATCTATATGGGACCCAATGTATTGGTTTTAATGGAAAAATTAGAGCACTGAAATCTGTGAGTTTGTTTTTGGTGTGTTCTAATGCTTATATTCTTTAGAGATATAATCAAGTTTGACATTATTTTGTTTTGAAATAGGTTGCAGTTCTTCAGATGTTAGAAAAGCAGATGGGTCCTGAGCCCTTCCGTAAGGTAGAAACTTTAGCAAGTGTGATAACACTCTTGTATTCTTTTTTATTGGAATTCGATTTTCATTACTTTTTGTTGTTGTTGCAGAAATTCTCATCTTTTACTGTCTAATTATTGTATGAGCTTAAGAATATGTCTATGTCAGAACATGCGCAGTTTCATGCATGAAAGAACATGTAGCATGCTGAAAAGCCATGTACTGTTGTACTAATGTGTTTATGTCTGGCTAGATCCACTATAGTAAACCTAGGTACATTGCCCTGTTCTCTGACTGCCTATATATATATTGGGCATCTCACAAGTTTTATTCACAACACTTTGTGTTTCTCCAACCAAAATTTCCTAAGGCCAAATTAGCTCAAAATTTCCACTTTGCCTACACCACCACCACCACATTCCATTGATATTTGCCAGCGTCATTTTTCAGTCCCCATGAGAAAGTTTAAGATTTTCAACTGACTATGGCTGCTGACAATTTGGCCTCTCATGCTTATGACTGTGTTTGTAGTCAGAATTGTTTCTTGCGAGTCATGTTCAAGTTGGGAGAATTTGTTCTTGTGATGTTGGTGTGTGATTACATTCGGCTCTTGCCTTCTTGGAAGATGTGTTCTTTCAGAAACCCAGTTGTTGCTACTCCCAGTCCCATTGTTCACTATGGGAAGTCACACGATACCCAGTCAAATTCTCATAATTCTTGGATCATTGAATCAGGAGCATCGGATCAATTCCGTGATAAGTTGATAACGTTGCATTGTTCTATGCATTCACGCTTTCAATATCACTTCTTTTCGCTGTCTTTGGTATTGGATCCAAATATACGACGAATGGTATTGGTACAATTGCACCTCATCCCGGTTTATCTTTATCATAGTCATTTATATTTCAAATATACGACAACTGGTATTGGTACATTTTCAGTCTCTAATATGATCTGTGCTCTTGATTGCATTGTCACATTTTCTTCTTTCACTGTATTTATACATGATCATCATTCAGGGATGATGATTGATTCAGGATATCTTTCCGATATGTTATATTGATTATCAACATATCAATGTATTGTATGTTCTGTAGCTATATCTGTCCATTGCCCATAGTCTTCTTGGACATCCCAGCCTCAATAAGCTTCGTCGTTATAGTCAGGAACTTTTCCAGTGCAATAACCAGGAACTCTGCCGCTGCAATTGTTGGGAACTCTGCCTCATTCTCTGGGAACTCCGTTACTGCAATCGCCGGGTGCTCTGCTGTTGCAATTTCCAGGAACTCGCCTTTGCAATCTCCCTCATGTGTGATGGATCCTTTAGAGTTAATCTTCATTGCCAAGTTAAACATACAAACGGTAAGGAGTGAGGGTTGTGGATGAGATGGAATACCACCAAAATCGTCATTGTCAGAAGTGATGGATCTTTGCCGTTGCGATCTCTGCATTGCTAGAAGAGATGGCAGTGGAAGAACAAAACGGGACTGAGGGAGTGTAAGGCTGTTTTTTTCTTGAGAGTTGAGCAACATTTTCATTTCTTAGGAAATATAGTAAGTGTGAAGTTTTTTGGGACATCCAGAAATTTAAGTGTGAAGTGTTTTATGGGATGGAGAGAGTATATTTGAACACAAATTCACTATATTGTTCAAAACCCTCGGCGTACACGATTTCACCAATCGGGCAAATCCTTTACCTACCCAGTTTCAAGGATGCTCTACCTCATATTAATAAATATTTTTTTTAAATCTCAAACAAGGTAATGAGAGGTAGGTCTCATTGCATCCTACACTTCTCCTCTTGCCAGTGAAGAGCTGAATGTTTGATCTCCATGGCCCAAGGCTTTTTTCTCCCTTATTCTTTCTCTCAATACTATTTCTCGGTTCATTCTTTTTTCCCATGTTCCTTCCCCTGATTTCTTTCTGCAGGAACCTTTCAAGGCATCCATAACCTTGTTGCCTGCTGATCACCCTTCTGTATTGTTACTGTTCCCTAATCTCTTAGGCAACCTGAAAGCAGGCACGCCATAGAAAAGTCTATTCTCGCTGCCAAGCTCTTAAATCATAAAGAGCATCCTGTGACACAAATATTTGGTCGGGAACATAACAAACTATAATTTGAATAGTTTCTGTTCTATTTTTTATAATCTAAACTTGTATGGAAGAGTTTTAGATAGTTGGAGATTCCGGTGATGGAGGCCGATGTTTGAAGGGATCAATTCTGAAATATCTAGATACATGAAAAATGAAAATAGTAATAAACTAATTATTTATCATTTGTTCTCAAAAGACGCAAGTCACTCTTTCTATGTGTCTAATTTTTCTAAAAATTTTGCTGGAAACTTAATGTTTGGGAAGAAGAGACATACAAGTTCTGTTTGTTTCTCTCAAAAGCTCAAGGGATGTTGAGGAGTTCTGTTTCTTTTTTTTATTTCTTCAAATATGTGCTCTCTTTGTTATCCTTTCACTGAAAAAGGCTTAAGCTTCAGGGGAAAGGTCGGGAACTTCTTTAAGTCTTTGTTAGTGTGTTTGACTCTAGAATTTCAATTTTGTTGAACTTAAATTTGTAGTATTTTCATCTCCAATTCCGTTATTATGATTTTTAAATAAATATTCTTCTCTGCTGCAGTTCATTTGTTGTATCTCAATTTTTTCTAGTGCTGCTTTCTAGCTGATTATGTTAATTTTTTTGTGAGTTACTTATAGTCTGTGTTACAGAAATTGGAATATGTCATTGACGATTCAATTTGAAAGTTAATTGCTTTTACCTTTTCAGATTCTGCAACAAATTATTTCAAAGGCGCAAGTTACAACACGTTCTTGTAGGACCCTCAGTGCTAAAGAGGTGAGGGGTATTCATCCTGCATTTTATTTACTCTGTAGTTACCTTTGATTGTCATCATAGGATCTGAGCTTTACTTTAATTATTACAGTTATGAAGTGGCACAGTTATCTTATACTCCCTCCGTCTGTTCATAAACTTCCTGGTTTGACCGGGCACGCATATTAATGTGTGATGAAAATTGTGTTTACTTTCCTATTATACCCCTAACTTGCCTCCTACCCCTTAGGCTTCTCCACCAACGTGAGCCATCATCTGCCCCTGCCAACATCACCGCTGACAACTCTCGGGCCCGCCGACAACAATTCTCTGGCACCGTCGCCGACGACTCTCCGGCACCATCGCATATGACATCTCTTTCTCTTGTGTCCCCCATCCCCTCCACAACCCCACCCGCATAAATCTGTTCTGGATCTTCTCATTAAAGACAAGACAGCTGCGAAAGAGCAGATTCAAGATTTTAATGGCGGCGGAAGAGTAGATCTAAAGTTTTGACGATGGTGGAAGAAAAGATTTGTGCAAATCAAACATCGGAGCATCAGAGGATCTGTAGATCTGTGCAATCGATGGTGGCAATGTCGGAAGAGGAGCATATCTGACCGCCGCGTCACCTCCGACCACCGCCTTGCTGCTCCGCCATTACCTCCGACCGCCGCCTCACTCCTAATCAATGGGTGGCAGGACAAAATCAAAAGGGGAAGGAAGAAGAAAAGAAAGAAGATGATGATGATAGAGTGGGCTGGACAATATCAGAAGGTGAGAGAAGAAAAGAAAGAGGACAAAGAAAAAAAAGAAAGAAGAAGAAAAGAAAGAAGAAGAAGATGACAATGGGGTGGTGGCGTTGGACTGGCAAGGAAGGAAGAAGAAAAGTGCGTAAGGGAGGATAATAAAGTCTTTTTAATATAAAATGTTAACAAAAATGGAAACGAGAAGATAATTTGTGGACGGACGAAAAAGGGAAGTGGGAAGATTATTTATAGACGGAGGGAGTATGAAGACATTGTTTTTGCATTTGTTGGTTGGAATGGTAACTGATCTCAGAAATAGTGTACTAAAAGTGAAGGTCTTCAGATTGTATAACATAGTGTTCGGTTATATTGCGTAACATAATAAGAGGAAAACACAAGAAGGAATTTAGTCTTTGCACCCCAACTCATTTCACAATATTTGACGATGCACCTCATAATTTATTTTCTAAGACCATGCACCCCAGACTGCACTGAAGTAGTTTATTTTCATTTGACCTTGCATCCGGATTTACCTTAAAATTTGACTTTACATCCAGCACGGGTTTTAGTTTGCAATTTTGCATGTCGAAAGAAGTTTACACAGTAGGAACCAGGACTAGTTTTCTCAAACAGAAATCACCAAATTTGTGGGTCTTGGACACACATTAATACTAGTGCATTTTTATGTATTGCTGCTTACAAAGAGTCGTTTTTGACAATGTTTCAGCTTTGGGTAACTAATGGACAAAATCAAAATCGCACATTAACTTTTTCTTTTCTATGATGTTTTGTGAAGTAAATGCAACAATGCATCAAGGGTCTAATGGAAAAAACCCTCTCTATTTTACAGGGGTAAGGTTGTGTACATCTTGACTCCCCAATGAATTGGGATTATACTTCGTTTGTTGCTACTGCTGATGACAGATAAACATTTTTATTAAACCTCAATTTGCGTGCATTTTGTAATTAATTTTGGTACAAAATAAAATAAGAACTTTTTCAAATTTTAAATAAAAATAATGGACTAAATGAAAATGAAAAAATAAACTTACCTTGCTTTACACTATATGAATTTTTGGGGCAGTGAATGAAGTAATGCATCAAGGATCTTACACGCAACCTGTTCTATTTTGTCTTCATAGGGGTAAGCTTGTGTAAATGTAAATCCTCTGATGTTATGATGGGGTTTGGTCTACAGTAGACTTAGGTAGCGTTCAACTTATTTTTTCTGCTTGCAATAAGATAGATCAGATGAGACCAAATCAGACAGATCAAGCGAACGGAACGCAGCCTTAGTAGGTGCAAGAAGCCCATGGTCAGTGGAGCTTAGGGATATCCTACTTGGATTAGTTAGGATAGATTGTTTCTATTATTAATCAAGCATCCTAGTTAGACTAGAATTAGATTTATATTGCGGAGCATAAAATTATTAATTGAGTATCTTGGTTAGACTAGAATTATAGTGGTCAGGGATAGAACAATTCTATATAAACAACATTATCCTCGTGCCTCAAAGGCTCTCGCTCTATGTTTAAAACATAAAGCGGCTGTTTCCAGATGACCCATGATGAGCGTCAAAAGTTGCATTGACTCCCATTGAGTAACTACTACTTCACTATTAAAAGAAGCACTGACCGTTTAAATAGCCAATTTGCTTTAATCCATCATATGCAAAGCAAAAAAAAGTGAATCTTTGGCCCCATATGAGATGATGGGAACAACTTTATATAAACACCACACCCTCTTGTAACTAGATACCGATCATCAATAAGAACAGTTAAGCTTTTAGCTTTAAAGTATTCCTGAGCACACACCTAACACCAAGAGAACTCACCAGCTTGTACATCAGATCTGTTATAATGGCAGCTAATAGAGGGCGAATTGAGTCGTTGGAGAACACAGTCGGTGGAATTCAAGCTTCAATTTGTAAGTTGAAGGATATGCTACAATAGTATATTTTGTCATTACCAAAGGATTAGAAGAATCAAAAGGGCCATTCGCCTCTCATGTTCATCGGCATCAAGATCTTCTACGTCGTTTTCTATAGTATGAATCTGACGCTTCTGGGTCCTCGACAATCAATCCTTATAGGTGAGATATACAACATCAACAAAGCCTTATCCCACTAGGCACGGTCGGCTACATGGATCAAACGACGCCATTGTGCCTTATCATGTACCATATCTATATCAAGATCATTCACGCGAAGGTCCCTCTTGACCACTTCTTAGGTCTACCTCTTCTTCTAGCCACATGTCTATTCTCCATTTGATCAACCCTTGTCACCGATGTTCTATTGATCTTCTCTCCACATGTCCAAACCACCTAAGATGAGTTTCCACCATCTTTTCCATAATAGGTCCATATCTTCATTCTTTATCCTCTCTATGACCGCTCATCCATCGAAGCATCTTCATTTTGACCACACTAACCTTGTGTTTTTGCTCACCCTTTCCTGCCCAACACGTTGTTCCATATCACATAGCTAGTCACAGTACGGTAAGGTTTCCCTATAGTTTCAAAATTTCTTTTTTGTCACATATAAAACCCGAAGCACTCTGCCATTTTGGCCAACCGGCTTGAACCTTGTGGTTAACATCATCCTCTATTTCTCCATTGTCTTGTATAGTGCACCCGGGATATTTAAATCTCTTTACTCGTGGCACCTTGATGTTATTTTCACCTGGAAATCTGTTCCTAAAACCCCAAAAATGGAATTTCCTAAGTTCAATTGTAATGATCCGCGAGTCTGGGTGGATAGAGCTCAACAATACTTCAGAGTCTACGAAATTCATGGGCCCAAGGAAGTTGTCTATGCAGCATTCTATTTTGATAGGGAAGCCAATTATGCTGGCTTTAGTTTAAACATGCAAATTGAAGAAATAAGAATAAATAGAACATGTATGAAAAGGCCAAAGGGTTTTGCTGCAATATGGGACAACTGCATATGAGGATGCATGAAGCAATGAATAGATTGAAGTAAACTATATCCTGTAGGGTTGTTTAAAGGAATTTGAAAACATCATGAATTGTCTACCACATTGACCAAAGCAGGCACTCACTAGTGTTTTTATGGTAGGGTTGAAGGAGGATTTGGCAGGAGAAGTTCTGATGCTGAAACCAAAATCCCTGCAGGAGGATATAAACATGGCAAAAAGGAAGGATGAACTGCAAAGGTTAAAGAAGCCTATAGTAGGAGAGGACAGCGCGGCAAACTATAACTTACAAAGTAGACACTAGACAACAAAACCAGCAGGATACCAAGAAGATCATTGTGGGCTGTATTCAGCAACAAAGAAAATTTTATGCTTCAATTGTGATGAGAAACTTACCCCAGGACATTATTGTATGAAACAAGAGGTGATTCACATTGAACTAGATGTCTATATGTGGTGGAAGGCGAGGAAAATCTAGGCAAATCCCAAAGCAAAGATCCTTGGTATCTCTTAATGCACTAGTTGGAAATACAGGTGAACGAACCTTGACAAATGCACTACTCTAATCCTAGTTCTCCAAAAGTTTATCTAAGGCCATACACTGGCGCCACGCCTAACTGACATCGGATCACCTCGTTTGGAATCCACCGTGAGATCCGCATACACTTGTTTGCCCACACATCCACCGTGAGATCCGCATCTTCGCCACATGTAAACGATGCACGTGAGTCTTCTTAACCGCCCAACATTCCATTCATACATCATAGTTGGTCTGACTACGGACCGATAAACTTGCCTTTCATCCTAGAAAAGATGTTCTTATCGCACAACAACCCTGAAGCAAACCTCCCCTTAACCCAAGTTGCTCCAAGATGATGCACAACATCCCCTTTGAACTCCACATTTTCCTGAATGACTAAGTTCTCTACTTTGGGTACTAGGAGAGAGTCAATCCTAACTTCCACCTTTGGTTCCGTCTCCCATCCATTGAAATGACATTCCATGTATTCAGTCTTGGTCCTACTCTGTATTATTCCTTTGGTCTCCAGAGAAAGGTTCCAACGTTTTAACTTATCATTTAGTCATTTGTGTGTGTCCTCAATAAGCACAATATCATCTGCAAAAAGCATGCACCACAAGACTTCCTCTGGAACTCCCTGCATCAAGATGTCCATCACCAAGGTGAACAAGAATGGGCTAAGGCAGACCCTTGGGCAGGTCTCTGGAACAATAATGAGGCAAGGAATGTTAGTCTTTATTGTTAGCGGATTATGTCTGAACCTCATTCACTCAAAGTTGGCCAAATGACTTCAACTGGTTTTGACACAAATTCAACCGTTCAAGGTTTGAGTTGCAACTTGCAAACAAAGAGGACTTGGAGTGTTGTGAGATATTTGAAATGATACCAACAGATTTGCAGGGGTATATGTTTGTAACTACTCTCTATACCCTTCCAATACTAGGTTTAGGTGTAGTTTTGTGTGTGCCATGACTGGCTGACCAAGGGCCCATAAAGTTGGTTCTAACAATGCTTTCTATGTTACTTGTTTTGACTGTGAATTCCACAGTTTAACTGATTATGATATAATCTTTTATAAAACCTTGCAGTTTAGGCACCTTGCAAATAAAGTTGGAAATCTTGAGCGTCCCTTTCTTAAAGAGTTTTTCCCTCGTTGGATTGGATCATTTGGCTGTCCAGTTCTGAAGTATGATTTTCAAGACAAATGTTTTGTAAGGTTTCCACCATTTGCGTTGTTTCAATGATCAGCTATTTGATATGTACTTTCTTGGGTGCTTAATGAAGGATGGGCTTTTCTTACAACAAAAGAAAGAACATGATTGAACTAGCAGTGTTACGGGGATGTACAGCTAGACAAGATGCAAGTGCACCTGTATCTACCGGTAATATTGAGTCTGAAAATCGGGAAGGTGACCCTGGATGGCCTGGAATGATGAGCATACGCGTTTATGAGCTCGATGGCATGTATGACCATCCAATTCTTCCTATGACTGGGGATTCATGGCAGCTTCTTGAAATACAATGCCACTCCAGACTTGCATCCAAACGCTTTCAAAAACCAAAGAAGGGTTCAAAACCTGACGGTTCTGATGAAAATGAAGCTGTAACTACTATAGACATGCGCTCAATGTATGCTTGGATAAAACATTTTTATCTCAATGATTACCCTTTCACAGTAACAATTGTGTTTTTGATTTTTTGCTATTATAAAGATTGTATGTTTTGATTTTTTTTGCTATTGTGTACTCCCTAATGTTTCTGAGTGCTTCTATGATATTGTAGTTCTGATTCACCATTGTTATGGCTCCGGGCAGATCCAGAAATGGAGTATTTAGCTGAAGTTCATTTTAATCAACCAGTACAGATGTGGGTAAGAATTAGCATCAATTGTTTTAATACATTTTATTTGCTTGTATGTCGTTGTAAATATAACACAGATCTATATCTGTTTGTACTAATATGTTATGTATTCAGCACTAACCTTGTATTCATATTATTTGTAATATGCTAGAATACTGACCTTTTGATCTTATGATCTCCAATAGCCCTTGGACTTTTGGATATCATTGGTGTGTTCTCTTTTTCTATTCTTTGTATACATACTACTCGCTTTTCTTTGCAACTGTGCATCCATCTCTCATTCTCTTGGTTCATTACCTAGTATTTTGGATGTGAAGGAAAATCAATGCAGTTATACACATTTTGTTCTTCACTTAAAGCGGGATGTCTATGATTCATCATAGTTCTCATAATGTTGTTCTTTATCTCAATTTTTTTGTTTGAATATCATATATTTAAATTCTGTGGACATTTATATAAATCAACTGATTTATATGCCTATTTCTTTTGGCTGTGTGTATTGCTGTATCATTCCTGCCAAATGGTCACATATTCAGTTTCTCACTTCATTCCACATGCTTGTGCGATCTGGTCAATCATATTACCGGTATATTGCTTGGTTTTAAATTCCTTTATTAATATGAATAATCTTGTGACATATGCCTACCTTGATGATGGGTGTATTCAATGTGTTCTTTTTGCAAAGGGAATTTCCTAAATTTAGTTCATCACTTCATGCCATATGATATGTGAATCCATCAATCTTTTATTACCGAATTAGGGCATTTTCGATATATATATATAAATCCACAAGAGTGAGCGTTGATGACTTGTGACATCTTTGATTTATTTATTCCTTCTATTTAACATATTGTTCCCATTTGTTTTCCGTACTTGTTTCACAGATAAATCAGTTGGAAAGGGACAAAGATGTCATTGCACAGGTGCAAGCCATTGCAATACTTGAGGCATTGCCACATCTTTCTTTTTCTATTGTTAATGCCCTCAACAATATCCTCAACGAGCCTAAGGTGGGTCTCTTCCCCTACATTTTTTCTTTATTTTCTCTTTCATTTGTGTGTGTCGAAAACAACCTCTACCTTTTTAGGTTATGGTAAGGTTTGCATAAAACAGACCTTCCTAGACCACACCATTTGAGGTTTTAGCGGGTTATTGTTGTCATCTTGATTTGTACAAGTCTTTTGTTGAGTTCTAGTCTGCACTCTGTAGTGTCCTTATTGAATTTTTTCTTTCTTTTTTGGTTTAGGTGTTCTGGAAAGTTCGAATAGAGGCAGCATTTGCTTTAGCCAATACGGCATCTGAGGTACAACACCTCGTTTAGTTTTATTGGATGTTAATAGTTTTAGTTTTTAGTAATGTTCTTTTTCTTGTTCTTGCCTACCCTGGATTTATGTGAACTAATTAATTTTATCTTCGTGGGGTGGAATTATTTTAAACACAGGAAACTGATTGGGCTGGCTTGCTCCATTTGATTACTTATTATAAAAGTCGAAGATTTGACTCTAATATTGGACTCCCCAAGTGAACCTTCAATTCTTTTACACTTGACTGCATTTTTAACTAGCTTTACTTCGGACCTGTGAGTCTCATGAAAATTACTTCTCTACAGGCCAAATGACTTCCGTGATTTTCAGGAGTATTTTGTACTTGAGGTAATGCAATGAGGTAGGCTGTGAGCTTTATTACATGAAGTTGCACAGGGGTCTGGTGATAAAATAATTGTGGTTACTACATTTCAAATATAGTTATCTTTTTTTATGGATGGTTAGATAGGATTTTTATCTCCAGTTTTGGTGCTCACACATCTTCAAAGTCTATAGTTATCTTTGATTTTCCTCTCTGTTTTTCCTAATTGGATTTTGTGATTATATTTCTTGATGTTTGCAGTATGCAAGTTTTGCCGCAGTCCTCTTACATGACACATTTTTAACATGCTAAATTTTACGAGGATTAGTCAAGAAATACTATAGGGATGGATTGGAGGAGAATGAATTATAAAAAATAACAAAAAACTAAAGCCCCTTCATGAATCTGGAATATAGGTTCTTTCCAGAATTTGTGTTTTTCTTATGTATCTAAAATGAAACCTTGAATAATTGACTGTACCTAGCCGAGTAGCAACAACAATCCAGTAGAATCCTGCAACAGCAGGGTCTGGAGAGGGTATGTCTATGCAGACCTTACTCCTACTAAAAGTAGAGGCTGTTTGCAAGAGTAGCAGATCACTTATTTTGGTTTTGAATCTCTATTAAGTAAAAGTCAAAAGAGAAGTTAAACTGAAAGCAAAAAGGAAGGTTAAACTGACAGTGAACAGAAAGCAATGCTGAAACTAAAAAAGATCTCCAAAAAGATTCCACAAAATCAGACCAAATGAAAAATAGCAGTGATTGTTTGTAGGGCATTTGATGCTTTGTTCTTTTTCCTTCGTAAATTTTTAATCACATGAAATCAAACTTAGCTCTTTAAGTTCGTTTCCTGTAATTTATGCAGGCTATTCCACATGCTATTGCAACTGTAAGAACAGCAGATAAGAAAAGTCCAAGGGAAGCTGTTGAATTTGTTTTGCAACTTCTTAAGGTACTTACTTACTTTGGCTGATCAAAATTTAGTTTTTCTGAAGTATGAGACTTTAAGTATCTTTATACTCTGTGGATCATATCTTTTAATTTTGTGTTATGCAGTATAATGACAACAGTGGAAACTTCTATTCTGATGTGTACTGGCTGGCTGCTCTCATCCAGTCCACTGGCGAACTTGAATTTGGACAACAGGTACATACTTATTAGCCATCTTTGATATAAATTTGTTTCAAGTCTTAGCTCAGGCTTCTTGTTCTCTCGAATTGCTCGTTATATGCCGGAAAAAAAGGAATTATTATAATTCCATTTATTAGAGAGTATAAATAAATATTCTGGGAGTTTTTTTGGTCAATTCTTGGAGTTGCGACCCTCTGTTTTCTCTTGCTTGTTCTCTTCATAGATTCTTTTTTAAGTTGCATACTGATTTTGTGGCAGAGCATTGTTTATTTGTCTTCTCTTCTCAAGCGACTAGATCGACTTTTACAGTTTGATGGGTAAGTTCATCTTTGAGTTGTTGGGCAGTGTGAAATAAGATCAATGCCAGCTTTTCTTTGTTGTGTTAACAGTGACTTGTTTCAGGCTGATGCCAAGCTACAACGGAATTCTGACTATCAGTGTTATTCGATCGTTGACTAAAATTGCTGTAAAACTGTCAGAATTTGTACCTCTTGTATGTGTTTCCCTTAACCTATTGCTTGGTCTATTCACCGATCTAATCAGCCTCTTTTGTGATCACTCTATATTCTTTTTTATTTATGTAATGGATGCAGGATTGCGTAGTTGGGCTTATTCAACCGTTTCGAACTTCTAAGGCAACATGGCAAGTTCGAGTTGAAGCAAGCAGGTCACTCCTTGATCTTGAATTTCAGTGCAAAGGCATTGAAGCTGCATTGTCATTGTTCATCAAATACTTGAGCGAGGAGTCTTCTTTAAGAGGTTATTAGCCTATATTGATATATTGATTAAAGTTTCTATGTAGTTAAATTTTGTTACATCAAGGCTACCGATTATTAGATTTACTCGCACACACACACACACATTTGTTTCCATTACAGGTCAGGTAAAGCTTGGTGTGCATGCTATGAGGCTATGCCAGGTTAGAAATGAATCAGACTATTACCAGGAAGTGAAAAGTGAAACTCTTGTTGCTTTGCTTCGCCTTCTTGAGAGCCCTATCTCATTCAATAACGTGTATCTCCGTCATTACCTGTTCTGCATTTTGCAAGTCCTCGCCAGAAGGTTTGTACTATGTACTGCTACTGATTTTTGTTGATAGTACTTTGGTTGTAGAGTGCTATTTGCAATAATGTGAAAAATAGATTCTTAATTTGTTTCTCCGGACATTTTAGATATAGGGGTTGAAAGTTTGATCTTCGAACAAACTTAAGGATTAAATCAGCAAAAGTGGTAAAACAGAGTACGAAATTGGGGTTTTAGCCTTTCCTTTATAATTTATATTTTCTGAAATTCTTTGATTATTTGTCTAGATTAGGTATTTGAACCATGTGTCACCAAGTTATATGCAACATGAATTTTGTTTTATTTGTACTTGGGGATTTTTCTGTGTTGCTCGAGCTGGAGGGTCTCTAGGAAATGGCCTCTCTACTTTCATGTAGGGGTAAGGTTTGTGTACACACCCTCCCCAACACTACTTTCGTGGGATTCTACTAGGTTGTTGTTGTTGTTGTTTGTACTTGTGAATTTAATACTTCGTATTATTAATATTATTATCCAGGACTCCAACACTTCATGGATTGCCAAGAGATGAGAGTATGGGTCATGCCAAGACTTGCAATGAACTTAAAAATATTTTTGCTGCCCTTGTCAAACAATCTAAGGCATCAGATTCTCCTATGGATGAGTTTGTGGTTAGACATGATGACCCAATTGCTCTAGAAGTTCCTCCAGAAGTAGGTGGTCCTGCACTTTGTAATGGCCTCGGGAATGACATTAGGGTGATGCCGAAAGAAGTTGATGATCTGTGTCCTGAAATAACAAAAGATGGTCGTTGTTCCCAACCAGATGACATAGTTGTAGAGAATGTAGATCCCCAACCTAATGACATAGTTATTGTAGAGAACGTAGATGCCCAACCTGATGACATAGTTATTCCAGAGAGAGTAGATGCCGAACCTGATGACATAGTTATTGTAGAGAAAGTAGATGCCTTCCCTATCAATAGCCTACAAATTCCCTCAATGGGCAATGTTCCCCAAGGTGATTTACTTGTAGCAGATAAACATAGTTTAGCCATTGAAGTCCCCAATGCTGGTGGTGGTTGTGTACAACAAGACTTGCCACCCTCTTCAGAAAATCCCATTCTTCCCGAAAGCAACGAACACATAAAACTAGAAGAGTCTCTTTTTCACAAGGATGCACATGTTATTGAGTGCTCTAGGCAGGAGAGTGTTCTTGAAACTGATAAGTGCGACAAGGTATACACTGGCATTTTACAAGATGATTCGCAAAACGTGGACACTTCTAGACAACATGAATCCATATCTGCCGGGCTTAGAAAGAAACCTATTTTGAGGATCAAAGTTAAAAATTCTACTATATCCAGCCGTGCTTTGAATCCTAATAAAGAAACACTAGATAAATCTCATGATGGTCTTCATGGTATGGATCATGGGGCAAGCAGTTCTATGTCTGTAGGTGCAACACAAGGAAAGGTTCTTGAGCTTGCGGATGCCAATAATCAGAATACTCAAGATCATTCGTGTCATGATGTGGGCTCTAGAGTGACTGCTAGCATTGGAAGCGTAAAAGTTGCCACGGATGGTGATGAGGCAATGAAGGAGCCTGAATCAAGTAAAGTGTCTTTGCCAAATCCTCCTGATGATCACATGCATATTGGAATCAGCAGAGATGATGTAGATACGGATGGTCATAAATTTGCAAGTCTACAGTCCCTGTCTTGCTCTAGGCCTGATGTTTATTGTAGCGTACCTGATACAAGTGATCATCACACTGATGGTAATAAAGGAAAACATAAGAAAAGGCACAGGGATGAGAAGAGTGGAAAAGAACACAAAAACAAGCTAGATGATCCAGAGTACTTGGAGCGGAAAAGATTAAAGAAGATGAAGCGGAAGGAGAAAAAGATGGCAAAACTCTTGAATGATAGGGCACAGCCTTCATCATCAGTGGAAATTCAAACAAATATAGCAAAGTCTNTCTTGCTCTAGGCCTGATGTTTATTGTAGCGTACCTGATACAAGTGATCATCACACTGATGGTAATAAAGGAAAACATAAGAAAAGGCACAGGGATGAGAAGAGTGGAAAAGAACACAAAAACAAGCTAGATGATCCAGAGTACTTGGAGCGGAAAAGATTAAAGAAGATGAAGCGGAAGGAGAAAAAGATGGCAAAACTCTTGAATGATAGGGCACAGCCTTCATCATCAGTGGAAATTCAAACAAATATAGCAAAGTCTCTTAAAGATGATGTCCTTGTTGATCTAACCCAAAGAGAGGATGAAACTACATTTAGGGTAGCTACAGTTGGCCATCCATCAAACCCTGTGGCATCTAATTTGTATACTGGGATTACAGATCTTCGAAAGGAAGATGCAGCCGTACAATTGACAATGAGTGAGTCTAGTGGACAAAAGTTGGGAACCGATAGAGCCGGTACTACTGTAAATGCAGCTAAAGATAGTGTAGGCCCCCCTGCTCCCGCGAGCTCTTCACATAAAATTAAGATTAGACTAAAAAGCAGAACACTTGGAAAATTGTGATTAATGTGGTCTTCATTTCAGAGATGGAAATTTTCTGTGGTTTCTCACGTTTACCGTGTCGTAAGTAGCAGAGCTAACTGGATGTATTTTTACTGATACTTGAACTGTAAAACCAATGGCCATATGCACATTTCTTCTCCAAGAGACTAGCAGTGTGTTATGTATGAGTAAAAACTTCATGAGATGAACAGTGTGTTCTTGATTGTTTGTCCTTTTAATCCATTTGTGTATTAGCTACAAAGTGCTTTGAAGTACATGATTAAAAACTAGATTCGTGCGATAAAGAGTGATTATGTTATCAATTTGCTTCATTCAAGAGAGAAAAGAGATTGATTAGTGATCCTTCCATCATTTGATTTGCATGCCATAGATTGGACCTATGATTTGTATGTGTTTCTTGCAACAGATGAGAGAAGATGTTTGATGAGGACCAGCTTTTTGTATCATCTTAAGAACCTTTTGTAGTTTAAGTTTCTTGAGAATCCTTCATTTGCAAGAATTGGTAGCAAAGAAAGGGGATAGTGGATCTTCTTGTTTGATACCTCTGTTATATTTGAAGAAGCTACATGGCCTGCCATTAACTTCATTTGACAAGGAGTTTTTTGAGAATACCTCACACAATGATGGTAAGGAACTCACTAGAGAGCCCAAATTTGTTGAGAATAACAAAAGTAATGTGCTATCAAACAATTTGCGTGTTTCTATTTGATTATAAGTTTGTCAATAAATTATTTTTTACTTGAAAGATAGTTAATGATATGTTTTCTCTGTGCTTATAAGTTGTTTATAAAGTTAAAAAATAAAGTTGGTTTTATCTATTTATTTTAAGTTGATTTTTTATTTTTCTATTTTGACACAATTTTCAAAATTATCCCTAACTTTTTACGGATACTCTCTCATAATTCATCTATCATCGCTTAATACTTCCTCCGTCCCAAATTATAACGACTGTTCACTATTCACAGGGTTAAATTTCATTCACTTTCTTTTTCTATTTTCGTTAGCAATTTGATAAAATAAAGTACTATTGTCACTACTAGTTTTGTAGATCTTTTGATGTAGTATTTTGATATGTAATTTTTATTTTTTAACTATATACCATTTGTCATATAAAATGATTTGAAAATAATTTCAGTTACACATCGTAAACTGAAACAGGCGTTATAAAATGGGACGGAGGGAGTACAAAATACCGAGTAATTCAATAAGCAACTTAACTTTTACGAGTACTTATTAGCAAAAAGTCAATAACTACTAAGAATAGTAAAGAAACATTTCCTATATTTTCACCTCTAGTTTGTCTATCTTAAAAGCAACGTTCTTTCTCTGTATGAAAGTTCCTTGCTCCAAAGACATAGGCTTATGAAAGATTGTGGAAAGCCTTCTAGTCAAGATTCTAGTTATCACTCTGACCAAAAATAAACTAGTCGTTTTGGTTCTTAAAAAACAAAAAGGTTGTTATGAGTCGAACCCAAGCAAAAGAAGCTTTAATATACTCGCTCTGTCCTTGAGTATTTGTCCACTTTTAACTTTTTTAGTCAAAATTAATAAATTTTGACCTCAAATTAAATAAAAATGAGATTAGATATTGATACAAAAAGAGTTTTATTAGATTTATTATATCAAACATTTTCAAAATATTATTTTATATAATTAAAATATAATGTATATTTTATTTAATTATAGGTCAAAGGTTGAAAACAGTTGACTGAAAAAAGTCAAAACTGAACAAATATTCAAGGACGGAGATAGTATGTTGCAGAACCTGATCATTCTTTATCAATGTTGCCAAAAAATCAAACCCGATTTATCTCATTTGGTACTAACCTCTCAACCACTTGAGGTATGTCACCTGGGTAGTCGTTTTGTTTCTTAAAAAAGAAAAAGGTTGTTATGAGTCGAACCCAGGCAAAAGAAGTTATAATATATGTTGCAGAACCTGATCATTCTTAATCAAACCCGATTTATCTCATGTGGTACTAACCTCTCAACCACTTGAGGTATGTCACCTGGGTAGTCGTTTTGTTTCTTAAAAAACAAAAAGGTTGTTAGGAGTCGAACACAGGCAAAAGAAGCTACTCTATCTGTCCTGTTTTAAATCGCATATTTTAACTTTTGGGCATATTTAAAGAAGAGAAAAAATAGAATTAATTTTCCGAAATTGCCATTACTTTTTAGGAGGGGTAACGATAAATGAGAAGATAAGGTAGAGAAGAGTAACATATTTTAGAGGCAGTTTAATTAGGTATTTTACTCTTAAAAGTTTACGATAACAAATAACAGAAAATTTATGTTGTGACGGATAAAAAAGGCAAACAGATAATTTAAAATGGGACAAAGAGAATATAATATATGTTGCAGAACCTGATCATTCTTTATCAATGTTGCCAAAAAATCAAACCCGATATATCTCATTTGGTATTAACCTCTCAACCACTTGAGGCATGTCACCTGGGTAGTCGTTTTGTTTCTTGAAACGACACAACAAGCTTCAAACTGTATTTTTCTAGTTGGGTTTGAAAAGTATTTTTATTGAAAATTTTTAACTTTAAAAATTTCAGAGCATTTAACACTTGTGAATAGTGGATAGATTGGGTGATGGATGATGTATGCAATGGATGATAGATAAATTGGATAATAAACATAAAGTCGATGGATGGATGAGGGTGGATTTATCCGACTAAAATCCGACCCGTTGTCATCCCAAAAGATTTATGATACATTAATATATATGCAAAATTTTCCTCATAACTTAATACCATTCCGTTCAACTTATTTTTTCTGCTTATTATTTATTCTTATTTTAACCAGATCAGACAAGGTCAGATCAGGAACAACTTTAATTATAACTACAATCAGATCAGACTATAGCTGGATTCTAAAAGATATAGGAAATCTGAAGCATATAACACACACAAAAAATCTCTAAAAATAAGATGTTGCGGCAAAGAAAGAGTATTCTAAGTTACGAATTAGGTTTGATATAAAATAGAACATTGAAAACTAGAACAAACCTATGTACCAGATAAAGATGACATTTTCAATCTTGAATTTTTTTAAAGAAAACATGGATGTGTCATGTGACAAGTGAGAAACATCTTCACCGACATCCGACTCGATCCATCAATGTTAAACGTTGAAGCCCATTTTTTGACACTGGGGAAAGAATAGAAGAAAGGTGGAGAGACATTTGGAGCATTGTACATGGAAGATCTAAATGAGCATTCTTTTAAAACAAGATGAGAACACCCCACAACAAAATGTGTATTTTTTAGAACAAAAAAGAGCAAATCACAAGTAAACAAAACTTTGCTACATCCAACCAGGTCAACCTAATACTTATAAATAAACCATCTCTCTTATATGCATTTGGATTCACCTAGATTTATGCAGATGCTCACTAGATTTACTTGAGTTCCCCAAACCAAAACGACCGATAGAGGTTTGGACTTTGGAATTCAACTTGCAATCCAGCAAGAAAGAGACAATAAGAAACCTGCCATTCAACAAGTTAGTCAAGCGTTAACTTTAGCAACCTTTCTATGCTCCATCTGGCCTGTCAGCGGGCACTGCATCTCTGTCCAACTTATTGGAACCATGGTAGCGCCTGTTGGATAACCGACATATATTAGTATCAAGTTTAGTCGAATTCAAATTTGTTAACAAGGCACTAATATCAATTTAGTTCATCAAAATGAAATCATGCCCAATCACACCACACTAGTGCACTTTTTCCATTTTGAGATATCGAGAATTCATTGCAAGCTAATCTTACTTGGCAAACACACTATGGTGGATTACACAAAATACCACCAAAGAGCATATAAAGCTCATTGTCAAGAATGGATGACAAGCCAATTACAAGGGGTTTCTTGTGATTTCACCCTATTTGTGAAATTTGAAGGGTTGGGATGACTGGATAGCTAAACCTGGGTGAAGGGGATAATATTTTTTGACCACAATGATTATTTAAGCCAAACATTACATGATTGATAGGCTCCAATTGATAAATAAATGAAACATAATAACAATTTAGCATCGATCCGAAGTGACAGGTTGGCTTATATGTGAAACAAGAGATGATCTCTTGAGACCGATCCACAAAGTTCTGTGTTTCACTATTTTTGTCATGCACTATCTACATCTAGAACCCAAGAGCCATTAGTCCTCTTTATGGTCTTAATCCATTTCATTCTCAGTATAGATAGACTCCTTTTAGAAACCATATTTCCAACACTACACTCTCCGCACTGTATAAACACAACAAAAACTAAAAGGCCTAAAAGAAAAGAAATATTACCTGCTGAACTCTCTGCAGATACCACTCCCAGTTCATTCTTGGCCGTTGATAAATAATATGATCGCGCATCTCCAAGTGATAGCTTGTTAGAGCAGTAATATTAAGGCCAACTAATCCTCCATTCATCAATTTCGCTTAGCATGTAATGTACCAAAATTGAGCAGCTAAGAAATAATTCTAAACTGACCCCACCGACTCTTATAAATTTATCACCCAATTCCAGTACTTCAGTTTCTACTATTATACACCTGCAATACTAGTTTCAATCACAACATCCTCTCCTCCTATATAACAGTTGTCTCACCAATTCCTCAAAATCCACTCAATGCACTACCCACTTCACGAATACAAATAAAATACTGCATACTCAATGACAAAGTTGCACCAAGGCAGGGACAGGTATTTATACAGGCTATACAGCAGTGGGGTAAAAAATGCGGAAACACCATTTTCCAAATTTTCAAAAGGATTTGGGTGTCACAATATCCTCACGTATTTAAACAGGAATGTTTTGCGGCGGGAAGCGAAACTTATTTGAAGAATCAGTTCAATATAACTCAACAAAAATTACTTAACTTACTAACCAAAATGATATAAACTATTACGTTTAGGGTCTAAAATGTTGGAATTTTTAGTTTGAATACCACAATGATACGAGGGTGCTAGTTTGGGGATTAAATATAAACCAATGCATTTATATCTATGTTTATACCATAATAAATTTGAATGTAAGGGAGGTGAATCTCTAGAGTACTGTAATTTAATTTTAAAGTACAAGATCGTAGACTGAATCTGTTGCAAACTTCATTAAATTTCAGGTGTTGTTGAAAGTCTGTACAAGTGTTGAGTGAATACACCATCCTAAGTCATCTAAAGAGTTATGACAGCCATATTTTGTGCACTAGGCTCTAGTACAACTCACATTGCAGGAATCATATAGACTATAAAGTTTGAAAGAATGAGACTTTGTAAAACCATCAACATGCTAGGAAGAAACCACTTATACCATATAGATACGTAACATACATTATCTGTTAAGAGTTAACAAAATATTTTTAAAGCTCTTCCCGGGGACAGCTTGTCCACCTCCACGGAAAGAGGTAAAGGTATGCATGCATTCATCATCCCCCCGACCCCACCCCCAAGATACGACCTCCAAGACACACTGGGTATGCTTGATTTTATTTGGTTTGGTAATTTGCTAAAAAAATATTAAATTCATATTTTCATAATCACTCATATTTATCATCTTTAATGCAAAGGATACCACCAAAGCTCTAACGATGTCACCTGGACGAAAAGATAAATGCATATCTACTTTATCAATCTCAGTTGCTCTGACATCTTGTTGCCTGTTTAGTTCAAGAGAAACAAGAAAGCTTAGAATCTCAGTAATATTAAAGAAAAGGGGGAAGCTTTGACTATTGGTCAATGTCTTGCAGCATCATGAGAAAAAGTTAACCAGCTATGTCCACAGCAATTAGGGATCTACGAATTAGAATACATAGTCAAAATGCACTGCTTAGGAAATAGGAACAATGAATACAGTTTGGTATAAAAGAAGATGACTTTGGAAATTCATTTGAAAATGAAACCTAAGGTTTTTCATTTGCAAATGAATTCTATCAAAAACCTAGTGTTTGAAATGAGAAAGTTGAATTGCAGAACTTTTTTGAATTCAATAAAACTATGTTTCGTATAGATGTGTATATACTTGATCGACACATGGAGTACAATAATGAAATCACAACTGGACTTCATCAATTTTCTAAATATACAGGATCTGAAGGTCTCTTCCAAATCAATTTGGGAAATTTGACATGACCCTATGACAGAGAAACCAGGTAATATGTGTATGCTTCCTGTTTCGTGCAAACATATATTGTTAATATATGCTTAAATGATCATTTTAGCAAAATATATGCTTATAATTCTTTAACAAAATAACAAACACACTTAAGTCTAAATAAACACACAATTATTTGATCTATTATTCAACTGAGTATATAAATTTTTTGTGTCCGTGATACCTCTATGAATGAGGCATTGAGTTTTGAAGAAAGATCCACCCGAGTAGTGCACAGCTTGCAATATGTCATAGAAGCTCTATGAATGATATCACGAGCATAGGTGGACTGGGATAAAAATAAGCCATGTTTGTCTCAGCTGTGATGCCCAGAAAATGATGTAATTTCCCAAGATTGGCAATAGCAAACTCTTGTGAGAGCATGGAGATGATATGTTTTAGAAAACTAGCATCGGATGCCGTGAGGATAATATCATCAACATAAAGTAAAAGATATGCAGGATGCCCCCCCTTGCAATAGACGAACAAAGAGGTATCACAGACACTGCTGCAAAAAGTTTACTTTTCAACAGCGTATATTCAAAAAGATCAATGCTTTTCTTAAATTCTGTGAAGTCAAACCATAAACTTCATTTCAGAACGGAGAAAGTAATTTGTTCTGGCATTAGACTCGCAAGATAACAAATGGGCATGGAATTTAAAAGCTTAATGATTTAGGCCATGTTCTCTTCAACTTATTTTTATTACTTATTACTTTTTCTTATTGGAATCAAATCATATCAGAAATAGCTTTAAATATAACTACATTCAGACCAGATCAAATCAGATCAGAACTTGTTCCAATCATATCAGAACCATTTAGATCGGGTGAAGAGAGCATGACCTTAGTATTTGTGAAGTATAATCAAGCATTGAACGCTTGCTATGGTTCCAAATATATCAGACATCCAATAACATTAATGGATTGCAATGTGTGGACAATTGATGGATATGCTCAAAATGATTTAGCTTCTAGTGATTTAAAAGTTGGTGGCTTGACATGGAGTGATGTGATTAGAAAAACAAGGGCAGAAAAGTGATTGCTAAGAGAAAGCCACACTCATAATCAAAACCCTACCCATAGACTTGAGGATGATGAAAGTGAGGCAAATTCATATGAAACTAAAGGGGTGTTGCATAACAGATGTCAGATGAAGGAGAGTGATCACAAAGGGTTGGGAGTTCAGAAATGGGCTGGAATCTTAATGACTTTGCTTCTTAATATTTAAGTTTATCTGATGAATGGTGTTTAATTTGGTGTTACATGTTTTTGAAATGCGACTTTATGTTTTAAAATTTGCATTAACTATTATCTTGGGCCATTCACCTTCGATGAGCTTGATGAGCACTTCTTAAGATTCGGGCAAGATACAACTTTTTGCATCCAGATATATTTGATTTTAAAAACTGGAGAATTTATGTAAAGCAATATTAATAAAAAATAAAAAATAAAGGTTGCGGGAAAAACTTGTATCCACATGTTCGCAAAAAATCATCGGATTTTTTTCAATGCAACATATGAATTGGAACAATCCATAATGTTTCACAGTGGTCATAAGAACACCCATAGATTACCTTATGGTACCGGTGAATTTTTCACGAACAGCCTTGAAACCAACACACATTATATCCACTGAAGCCATCCTTGCCATCACCTTAGTGACCTGATGCAATCAAGTATAGAGTGTTAGAGATTCCAAACAAAATCTATAGCAAATAGAAACATCACTTAAATTTAAAGCAATTCTCTTTTCCTTTTAATACAAGAATTTAACAAATGACATAATGTAGTATGACAATAATACTGTAATACTTAATGTAATATGGTATTTGAAGTAAAGAGAACTAGTGGACATATATTTAGCTTTCCTTTAGTAAAAGTGTAAAACACTTTATAAAGAAAAGCAAGTCCCAAAACAAAATAGAGAAAAAAAATGGAAAATTGGATGTTCTAACTATACAATTCTTGAAAAAAGATTTGTTTACTGTATATTGCGATTATTGCAATAACAGAAGTTTAAAATGATACTCCGTAGTTCCATACTATGTACCTTTCACTATAAAAATCACTAGTGTTTGACAAAAAAATTCAAGTAAAATTTAACACCTTTCCTTTTGAATTAGGAGCATAATTTAATAAACTCTAATGACAAAATAAATTTTACCCTGGCTAAAACCATTGAGCCTGGCTGAGGAACAGGTCCATGTGCCTTATGTCCAGTAACCCCCACAGTTGGTCTCTGATGAATATGAGCAGCAACAAAAGACACCATAATCATGAATAAGCACAAAAGACATAAATGTGATTTAATTAAAAACTGGGAAATGATTTTTTCTTCATCAACCAAATGAAGAAAAAAATTAACAAGTGTAAGACACACTTGCATATGGCTCTTGGCATAATTGTTAAGTGCATATCTTGCCAAAATCTTGTAAGATTGCAATGCCTCATACACTGTTCTCGGCTTTTCAAGTACGCCTTATAGATATGTGTACACAAGTCTTCATGACTTCATGTATTTAAGAAACAAACATGAATTGGTTTAGGGTTATTTTTTCCTTTCCATCTTAACTAAATGTTCTCAATCAAGTGATTTTTAGCCAAATCTCACACCACTATATAGTGAACACTATATTATCCATTGTAAATTGTTCAATCTAATTACGGAGTACTTTTGAACTATTGTATAAAACTATATTTTGTTTTGCATGATGCTTGAATTTACAAATCCCTTCGTCCCAATGTTTTTGTCTAGTATTTCTTTTTGGGCTGCCCAATGTATTTTTCCACTTTGCTTTTTAAGTAACTAAACATTAGCAAGAAAGCCTATTTTACCTCTCCTCATTTATTCACCACTCAATCTCCTTTGCCGTATACATAAATCTTCAACCTTGTCTTCCTTTTTCATTCCGGCTGAAGGAGAGTACAACACCGTTATCAATGTTCTTCCACGGAGTCAGATCTATGTTATTCCTCTTCCTCTGCGTCAGATCCGAAGACATTTGTGTTCCCTATCTTCATCTGTGGGAAAGATGCCGTTCTCAACCTCAGTAAACCAGTTGAACCAGCGTTAACCTCATCTAATCGAGATGTGGCAGACATTACAAAAAATCTTCAACCTTGAAACGTCCACAACCACTCCGCTACCTAAAAGAATCTCCAACAAATCTCCCCGTTCTTGTGAAATGTCAATTGTTGCTCCCCATGCCATTAATTTAGTGTGCCTGGGTGGTGTTGCTTGAATGGCGAAGTGGAGTTTCCAGTATGCACAGAGTCAACGACATTCATTTGTAAATCTAAAATGAATGGAGGGGTGTTTTAGAAGTCCCTGCTTATTCTCTCTTCCATGGTGTTTATGTCAATTGTCAAAACAAAAGTGGACAAAAATACTGGAATGGAAGGAGTATTTTGGTGATGCTACGTCTTGGTTGTTAGATTTGATTATATAGTTTATCTACCACAATAACAGCAGCAACATCATCAAAAACAACAAACCTAGTACAATCCCAACTACGTTGGGGTCTGATGGTCAAGATGTTTGCAACCTTACTCTATACACAGAGTGGCCAACTCATCACTCTTGATGCATTTACTTCCAAAAACAAGGGAAGTTTAATTTGCCATTTCGATCTAGTCCATTATTTATCTGAAGCTAAAAAATGTCGAAAGGACTCTTTTAGCTACATTAGCAATGGACAAAATTTATTGAACTTTAACAAACTTTTCTTGTATTACCTTAAGTTCCTTGTAACATTATTTTCTATAAATTTATAAATTTGTACTAACAATGACATTGCATCTGAATAAGCAATGAGGCTTACACCTTGCGTCATCTCGCCAGACCGTCTCAACTACATTATACAGTATATACAATTTCAAAGATTTTTAGTTTCAAAGGCTTATTACTGAGGGATGAAATGATGCAAAAGAATTTGTATTTGATGCATCAAATGAAGAATATGAATAAGAATAAAACAAAGATGAACTACTTGATGGTGGCTAGGATAATGCATTTGGTGTGATATGGATATCAATTTTGATGATTGAGTTGTTTGATTTGTGATGATAAAAGGTGCTTTAATTTGAACACTATATTAGAACTTGATGGGAATCTCTTGAACTTTTGTTATCTTGGTGTTTTAAGCTTTATTTTGAAAGTGAGTGTTGCTTTACTTGTTTTTGGAATTTTAAATGGATAAATTAGTGTTTGTCATTGTTTTCACCTCATGTTCATGAGGTGCCCACCTCTGGATCTAGGAGATTTGCGCCTTGATGAGCTTCTAATTCTTTAATAGCTATGGCTCTTGTAGTACTAGAACACTAAATACTACGTCCTCCAATTCGACAATCAACTTTGCACTTTCTTTTTCCATCTGTATCAAATAAACTTTTCACTTATACTTTTTCCTCTTAAGAAAAAGAATAAGTGGCTTACGGTATGCTCGTAATGAGACTCTTAAAAAGTGGGACTCTCATCTTCAATGGGGAGTCTCATTTCAGAGTCCAGCTTATGGTTTTACGTTTATATTGTATTTAGTAATAACTAAACTATTTTTACATAAATACTATTGTCGATAAAAATATTATACTTGCATTTACAAGTCCTTTCTATTAAAAATAATTTTGGATTTAAAAATACGGGTATTCATTAAAAAAAGATTGCATAGCCATTCAAGTAATAACATGCGGAGTTTATGTTTAACCCATTAACTAATGAACTTTATCTACAATGCCATTAAGATCCAAAAAATTACTCATACTCTGTACCCATTTTCATTCAGAACCCATATTTTTTCACTTATTTTCAGCTAAATTCAACTCACTTCAGCACTTAGTAACGACTATAAAGTCATATCTTAACTAAAGTTACAGCACACGCACATTGAATGAGATGCTTAGCTTACAGATAGATAGAAAACTCAGTTCCGGAATCAAATGCATAAGAACAAACAATATTGTGTGTGTTTTTTTAAGCGGGAAACTGCGTGCCTGGTCAGGAGAGTCGGACGGTGGGTGTATGAAGGAGCGGAATCCGGTGATGGCGGAGATTACAGTCCTTTTGTAGAGGTAAGCCCCTTTCCCGGCTTTGTACTGCAGAGCCGATCCCAGCACTTCTCCCGGCGTCGCCAACAACTGGTCTTCCATTTCGGTTTTCAGGCGGCGGGAACAAATATAGAGCGGTAGGGTTTTCCGATTATCCCTAAAACCTGCGCAGGCCGCCTTTAGGACTTGTGAAGAAAAACAAAAGAGCAGGTTTAGGTTTCAAAGTTAACAAAGAAATTGGGATGAAAACAATGAGATGAAAAAATAAAAAAAAAATTGTTTTAAAAAGTTTTTGAGATGAAAAAATTTCTATATTATTAGACAATTTAAAGAGAAAAGTAGGCCTTGGGATAATATACACGAACACACTTTCTCTCCAAAAAGCCGTCAAAAGTGAAAATTTGTTACCTGATCCTAATTTTTTTTGCATTTATTTCGAGGTAAGGTTGTAAAATAAATTAATTTTATTATTAATACGAACAAAATTCTATTCGTAGTTCAATCAAATAATTTTATACGTGGAGTCAAACAATTTATGTGGGGCTATTGTCCATATACTAGTGGCACGAGAAATTTTAAGATGAAATTTTCTTAAGAGAAAAAGAAAATGTAGCGAGTCAAAACTAAGATCGAATTTATAACAACAACAACCTAGTTGTATCCTACAAAAGTCACAAATTATATTATACAACCGGTTGTACTCAAAATTGGGTGTAAAAAGAAGCGGCAAAAAACAAAGGGAGAACCTGCGGATCGGAGATCATGAGGGACTCACCGAAGGTCGCCAGGAGCAGATGGCGATAAGAGCAAAAGTGATTGTATATGAGATCGACGAAGCCACACGAAGGTGATGGCAGTTAAAACTTGTGAAAACCTAGGCGGCAACGAAGAAGATGAGGAATAGAGAAGAAGATGAAGAATGGCTCCAAATTCCAGAGTCACAAATTTGGAATTAATGATAAGTTAGTTGAGAATGAACACTAATTTATTTAAGAATGAGTACCACTTTTTTCAGAATGAACACTACGTTATTTTTAGATAATTATTGTAATTATATTAAATTAATGTGTGAAAATGAGTACTCCGTTATTTCATAATGAGTACCACACTATTTCAACATGAATACTTATGTTGATGCGAGAATGAGTATTACTTTACTTCAAAATAAGTACTACCTGATTGTACCTTACTTCTGGTACAATCGGTTGTACCATATACCTTCTCCATAAAAGTAGAGTCTGGAATGGTGTGTGTACGAAAGTCTTGCCACTACTCAAAAAATGTAGAGAAACGTCTACCAAACTCAATTAATTTATGGTATGTTTGAGAACATGGATTTGGATTTCAAATCCGGATTTGGCTTAAATTCCATGTTTGGGAAACTTAAGCATTTTGAATTTAGATTTGAATCAAATTCTTTACATTCAAAACAATGCTTAATTTGAAATCCATGCACCTCCCCTTGTCATTTGAAATTCAATATTTCAAATTTTGGAATTGAAATGCATGAATTGAAATGAAATGTTAATCGCCAAACACTACCTTAAATAATTAATCGATGATTGAGTCGGATCCGAGTCTGAAAAATCTACTTTAAAGAAAAAAATTATTTGACTACATCAATAATTGAGTTTTGAATTATGATTCTAGAAACAGGAAACAAATTTGAATTTGAACTTCATTGGATTAAGAGTAGATATTACGGAGTATTTGTTGCACTCCTCATTTTTCTCCACCAAATCACACCATGTGAATCTCCTCTTCCCATTGTGTAGTGTAATCCAACATTATTTGGGCGGCTAATCATGATGTTAAATTGTTAATCTCAGTCCATATCAAATCTTCTTTCTACTTGATACGTCTGATCTAGATTTGATTTTTTAAATATTTAGTTTGATCTGATTAGATCTAATTTAATTTCATTAGATCCAATTTGATCTGATCTGCATATTTATAATTGTTTCTAGCAATAACGAGATGAGAGAGACCCAAAGCTTCCCCAACAGCCAAAAGCTTCCGCTATCAAAGGGTCATGACCACCCATGAGAACACCATTCATAACCATTTTAAAAGCCTCATTTTGAACAAAATACATCCAAATTCTGCCTTATGTATATGTGCAAACAAAGATGCATATACAAAATCTCTTTGATCAGCACTATAAATAATGCTGAATGTGTGCTGCCACACGAGTGGTTTCAAATTATACTTCGTATAAATTAAGACAGCTGTGCGAAATAACAATATTTTTTTTGTTTTCTTCTTTAAAAATCTTGAAAATAGGTCAAGTAGGAAACTATTTTTTTTTTTTGTTTTATGTTCAAATCTTTGTAGTAAAAAAGCAAAAACCAATTTAAATAAGTACAAACCCCAACTTGATGCATTGGATGATGAGCAGAAGAGGGCAAAACCACCAGTATTTCTCACAAACAGACACATAACACATAACACAGATTAACAGAAAGGCAATGTCTTACGCAGGCTTCCGGACTTCGAGAACTTCTTGAAACATTTCTCGCATCAATTCTCTGTCAGCCTGCCTGAAGAAGTCATCCATTTCCTCCTTCAAATCGTAAATCTTGCCGAAGTCAAACAGATAAGTCAAGCATCCCTTCTTCAGTTTATACAGCTGGTAAATCCAGGCCTCTTGCAACCTGTCAAGGACATTTTCGGTACTGATATCTTCCAAGAGACTCTCCTCGCAAGCATCTTTCATGTCTGCAATGTCGTACTTGTTCGCAGCTCCCAGCAGTGCCAATCGGTGTTTCCAGAAATCCTCCTGTTTGATTGTCCCATATAAGTATCCCAGGAGTGCCATGCACGAATCGGTTGTCATGTCTTCAATGTTGATGGTTGATGACTCTTTTTCCTTTAGGCTATGGAGGAACATGGTATAGAATACTGGAGAACTGGCAGAGAGAACTGCCTTGTGAGCTTGTAGTGACCCATCGGCTGTGTTGATGGTTACATCAGCATGTATGGACTCATAAAGCATGCGTGAGAGACACCGGAGGGTTGTTTGGGTAGCCAGAGAATTCATCATGTGGTCACTAGGCCATATGGAAGTCCCTTCACCCTGTGTTTTAACCAATATGGTAAACATAAGAGAATTTTTGTAAATGGTCAATATATACGAATTTAGACACCAATCGAGTTTTGCTGAATAGGGGGTCCAAAGTTGGTCCAAAGGAAGAATGTGAGTGTGCACAAATGTGTTATTAAAGTAAGATCAGATGCAATAATTTTGTAATGCGCTCACATTTTTTTGGTAGATCTTCAAGTCATGAAACTCAACATCAATGATAAGGTGTCCTTGGAGGTTGGAATCAATGGGCCAAACAAAATCATCACTTGACCTAAGAACTCTTTCAAAAACTACAACACGAAGAAATAGGTAATCATGCACATATAAAAATAAAACAACCGGCTGGAATTCCCTATCCATTGAAGCAACAATAGACTTGAAAACCAAGAGAAAGCAATCATTGATTCTCATATCCGAAAGTTGTGAAGTTCTATTGGAACACAATAACATTGGAAAAGCAATATCATATGAGGTATACACCAAACTAAAGATACTCCTAAACAATTAAAGTATGAGTTAACATGTCGACACTAGACATCTCAACTAGTAAAACATTGACAAATGAACCATTTAATCCGCAACCCGTACTTACAATTCATTTCTATCGTGGGTTAAAACTCAAAACTATTCTTCCCTCCCAGAAAAAGATTTCACATTCGTTTTATATTTGCACCACAGCGCGTTCCATTTCCTTCTTTTAAGAAAGAACAGTGTGGTCCATATTATTACACTCTTCCCTACACAAGTCTCAACTACAAAATTTCACCTCTCTTAGCAATCATTCTCAGTCAAATGTGGCATCTTATTCTAATACAACATTCACACCAACCAGGCAGAGGCGTTGAATCAAAACTCAAAGCAAGCAAAGGAGTTGCAAGCGAAGTAACTCTATAATTATAATAACTAATGGTAGCAAACTTTGACATCGAATTGTCACTTTAGAGCATGTGCAGTGGCAAGGAAGAGGAATGCCTTGCACTGCCACATCAGCTCTTTCCACTCATATCATGGCATGGCAAGGCCAAAATGCCTTGCTTGGTGAGGCATGAGTGTGGCACTCCACCATTCTTTTTTTATTTTACTTTTTTAAATAAATTTTTTAAAAAGTTTTTATGAAAAAAAATGTACAAGAATGTAGAATAATTTTTTAATAAAATAAATAAAATATTTTTTTATGTTTAAAAAACATTAAAAAAATGTTAAAAGTGATAAAAATAATGACTTGCCACTGTAGAACTTGCCACACGTTGACTGGACTATTTTTGATTGGTTAAAATGTTCCGTGTGGCATTCCATTTTTTCCTTGCCATTGTTGATGCTCTTATGCAGATCGATACAGTAAAAACTGCGTAAAATGAGCAGTTTGGTGTACAAATTGCACATTTTACAGTACTAATAAATGTGAGTGCAAGAGGAAAGAAATACAAGAGCATGCCTTGGGAGATGAGGGGCCGGCGGTTGGTGGACGGAGCCGTGACTTTTAGGACAAACTTCGCAGACGGAGGCTGTTCCTTGGAAGCCCGAGAAGGTTCAGGGAACAGGCGAATATACACGTACCGGTTCTTCTCCACTGATAAATGCCTATCAAGTTATAATCATCACCAATCAGTTCCCAAAAAATCACCAATAAAAATCAGAAAAGCAGAAGAAAAAAAAAACTAGAACCAAACATTCCTATTTCCATCACCAATAGAAGAATCAAATGCTTATATCAAAGTATTTCCATCGCCAATAGAAGTATCAAATGCTTATATTACAGACACAGAACCAACTTCCTCATCTCAAGATCAAACTTACCAGTTCCAGATGCCGATTTTGAACGGGTCGGATCGCTTGTAAGTCGAGGGTCCGAAATTCTCGATCCTCCATTGCGCCATCCTTGAAATCGTCTCCACCTTGGAGTCCGACATGATTCCAGTTTCGCTTTCAATGTGCTGAAGCTTCTTTCAATGGACGACGGGACCGGACTTCAGTTATGGGTTCCAAGCCCTCCCCTCTCCCCCCTAATTTCAGAATTTCCTTAGCTGCAAAGGCTTTTCCAGTAGCTTTTGACTTAAATTTACAGTGAGCTGAGACTTCACCTTTTTCTTGGTAAACGGTCATTTTCATCCTCAGCAGTGCGGGGTGAAGTTAAAGAGCGGTTAGAGCAATGGAGGTGGGTGAAAGTCGGAATGAATAAATTAATTTAGGGATTGA